TGCACAGGGGCCATCACACCACCTTGTTGATGATGACCCCCAGGTCTTCGATCTCACACTGGACTTCATCTCCCTTCTGCAAAAGAACAGGCCACAGAGGCCTCAGCCCTTTGCTGTGACACACACGTCTGCACACACACAGGCCCGCATTCCTCTAATCTGAGTCCAGCCTGCTAGGCCTTCCCGGGCCCTGTGCTGGCACCCCTTCCTCCTTAGCTAACCTACCTTGAGAAAGACAGGCGGTTTCCTGAATACACCAACACCTGGGGGCGTCCCAGTCAGGAAGATGTCCCCTGGGTAAAGGGTGACAAACCTGGGGAAAAGCAAAAGGACCCGGTGAGATCTGGAGCTGATGTGACCTGCCAGGGACAGAGGGCTCAGCTCGGCATCCAGGTGTGTGGGGGGCCGGGTGGGGGTGGCCAAGAGGCCCCAATGTAGCTTACTGGGAGACCCAGGCTATCAGCTCTTCCGTCTTAAACACCATCTGGTTGGTGTTGCTGCTCTGGACCACCTCCCCGTTGAGTCGGCAGCAGATCTTCAAGTTGTGTGGATCTGAAATGCAGACACCACAGGGTCATCCCTTTTCCCCTCAAACCTCTCCCCACATTTCAGAAAAGGACACTCTCTAGAGTCTTCGAAACTGGCGAGGTGGAAGGGCTTCATGGCCACTCCCACTCGGCACTCTACCCTGGAACTCCCCACAGACACCAGCCTCCTTGGGCTCCTGCGCCCCACCACCCAGGCAGCAGCCATCCAGATGAGTCAGGAGGAACGTTCCAGACTGACGGTGCACAGACAAACGCCTTGGAAAATGGAGTGTCCGCTGCAGAGGCCGAGCACTGTAGCTATAACACAACTCCGCACCCAGCAGGGACAGGGTGGTGGCTCGTGCAGGGACGATCAGCTCCTGTGTGCCTGACTCTGAAGGGATGGCTTACCCGTATCAGTCACTAGCCAGCATGGCTGACGCCAGTGTTGGGCTGTGCACCCCACACCCACCCCCACAGACGGGGCAGCTGGAGCCCAGTGCGGCCTAGCTGGGACTGACTGCCCAGGCTGCCATAGGCATGGGCGGCTTGCGTGGCTGTGCTTTAGGGCCTGCACTCTGCCCTCTCGGTCACTGCCTCACTCCCGGCTCTCATGGTGTCCTGGCTGCTGGTAGGTGTGTTTACATGGTGGCTGGGTGGGGTCTTGCTGGTGCTCACATCTCCCTTACCGTGGAAGTGCACAGGCTCTGTGACAGCCACTCTCTGCCATCTCAAGTGCCCCCTTGGTTCCTTTCAACTTAAAGAC